CAAGAGGACTCCTCTCTAAGTCTGAGTTTACTAATTACTGCCAACATATTTCTTCTGATTTGCTGTTTCTGTTTCTCTACTTATTTCATCATGATTGGTTCAGTCATTACCTTTTTTCTGTTTCATCACTGTTATGAAAACATTGTAATGACTTTAGGTTTTGAAAATACCTTTTGAAAACAGTAGATGAACAGTTCATGACAAATGGACCAGTAGAAATTTTATACCAGTTTTTTTAAGGGCTACTATGGAAAAAAAATATCCTCACTTTTAAACAAGTAATGGATGAAGTATGTAAACACTGGTTTTGAAATATTCGCTCAACAGTTCATACAACCCATATATGGAAACTAAGCCCATTTTCAATCATTATTTTTGTGATGTCACAAAAAAACAATGCATTTACATATATAAACCTATTCAGCCTACAGCAGTTTAGCTCCACCCATTCACATTGAAGTTATAAGCAGTGTTTCAGTCTGGACTGCTTCTTTTCTTGCACAAGGCAGCCAGTTAAAACAGAGCTCATTTACATATAAGCCCACCGGACAAAATATTAGTCACCTGTGACTGAAATGTAACTAATAGCATGTAATACCTCCGCAAGCACGAATAACAGCTGTGATTCGATTTGGCATGGACTGGACAAGATTCTGAATATAGGCAACATCAGTGTTCAGCCACTATTGCATCAAAGAATTGCGCGGTTCGGCCAGATTTCGTAGATGTTTCCCTGGCGTCTTTCGTTATACCAGGTAGTCCCACAGATTTTCAGGAGGATTCAAATCTGGGGATTTTGCACGACAGTCCAGATGTGTGAATGCTCCTAACTGCTCAGTCACATTTGCATGGTATGCAGTTCCCTGCGTAGTATTCTTTCAGAAATTAGTTGTGAAGGACCTGCATTGACTTCTAGAAGCAATTCTTGCCTGGAAGCGAAGCAATTTTAATTCACAAGCCGTGAAACACGCCGGCAGTCCCTGCCTGTCGGCTTCATCTTTTGGCCAGAATTCTGATGAGAATTTCCTGTAGACTGGGATTTTTGCCACTGCTGATAGACCCGTATGACTGTACGCTTTGATACACCTGCAAATTCAGCTACTTCCTTCACACTATGGCCTCTGAAATACAAATACAATCACTCCTTTTTGCCAATCATTAACATCTGCTTTGTAACTCATTGTCCACACATCGAGCGAGACATTCACTGCACTGTACCACCTTTTCTCAATCTATGAATCTCATTGCACACCGCAGATATTTATAGCCCAATCATCCTCATGCAGGGCCATCTGCAGGAGCCTGAAGTTACTACCACCTTAAACATGCAAGGTGACAAATTTTTTGTCTAGGGAGCTTATCAGCCTTAAATGCATAGTAACAAAAACAGCCTGTATAATTGTAAGGGATAAAGAGGGGTTGGGAAAAAATGGTTTAAATGTTTTTGACACACACATATTATAACTGGACCTTAGTGGAAAGAATAAAAAACAAGAGAAATGTAGAATGTGGGCCCTTTAATTTATACTAACAATTTTTGACAATGTGAATTTGCGGATCTGGAGCCTTTTACAGTGTGTGAAAATTTCAGGCAAATGGATGAGTAGAAGTAGTCCAAAATTAGAATTTAAAGTTATGGATGTTTTTTGTTCCTCGGTGGAGTTTACATGTCAGACATACAAGGTTTTGCTACCACAGCAATTATAATGAAATATCGTTCAATTTACTATACTACAATATGTTGTCAATAGAATACAATATATGTAAATGTATTTTCAGTGCATTGCATTTTTGTATGGGACAAAATAGAGACTGTAATGTTAATGTGAATGTTTATATAGCTGAAGCTCTGCCAGGTTGGCATATAATGTGTAGCTCTTGCATGCCTTCTGCTCTGTCAGTGTCCTGCAACTGAATCTGTTGATAAGTTGCTGAACCCACACCTCTGCATCATTAATCACTCACTAATGTCACTGCGCCTCGTCATCGATGAGTAACCGTAAAGTATCGACCCGTCTCTGCACAAATTAGAGTCGTCCACTACAGCCGTCTCTATTGATTACCTACAGAGGGGTCCTGGAGCAGCGTAAGGGGAGAGAGGGAACAGCAGAGTGTGAGATAAGCTGGAGATCACAAGATGAAAGCTTAAAGTGATTCAGCACTGTTCCTTTACCCTGCTTTAGATCAAGCACTTTCACTGATTGGATTACCTGACGATTCTTTAGGAATTGATTCAGTGCATCATCTGAAATTTCAACATGGTTGGAACTGATTCCTTAGCGAATGATTCAGTACATCATGACTTCTCAAATTTCACCATGATTAGATTAAATTCTTCAGGAAATTATTTAATGCTTCATGAAATCTCAATTTCACTTGGATTTGATTTGATTCTTTAGGAGATAGTTCACTTTATCATGATATCTTAAATTTTACTGTGAATCGATTTGATTATTCAAGAAAACAATTCAATGCATAATCTGAAATTTCACCATTTGATTTGATTCTTAAGAAAACAATTCCATGCATCGTTTCAGATTTCACCATGATTTAATTTGACTCATTAGAAAATGATTCGGTACATCATAAATTCTCAAATTTCCCCACAATTTGATTCCTCGGAAAATGATTCAGCGCGTCATTTCAGATTTCTTTATGATTCAGTTCAATTTATTAGAAAATCATTTAATACATCACGAAATCTTAAAATTCACCATTATTTGATTCTTAAGGAAACCAATCAATGCATCATGAAATCATGAATTTCACCTTGATTTGATTTGATTCTTACGAAAGCAACTCAATGCATCATCTGAAAATTTCACCATTGGTTTTGATTCTTTGAGAAACAATTCAGTGCATCATTTCCGTTTTTAGCGTGATTTAATTTGATTCATTAGAAAATGATTCAGTACATTATAAATTCTCAAATTTCACCACAATTTGATTCATCAGAAAACAATTTAGTGCATCATTTCAGATTTTTTTACCGTTCAGTTTAGTTTATTCAGTTTAGAAAATCATTTAATACATCATGAAATTTCAAATTTCACCATGATTTGTATTTTTAAAAATATGATTCAGTGACTCATGATATCTCAAATTTCACCATGATTCAAGTCAGTGTGATTACATTTAAACGTCTGTGGTTGGAGGAACTCTTTACTCAGTAGTGGAATATAGACATTAAAAACAATTCTTGTATTTCAGAATAGCCTAGAAATTTTGTTTTGGCCAAAAATTTCCATATACTTTATTGAATAATGTTGTAATAGTTTGGGGCATGATTCTGACTTTGAAAGTCAGTGCATTTGGCCACCTTCAGATGCGTTTTCACACCTCTCATCTGTTCCACTTTCTGTATTGATTTTATGACGCAGGACCTGGTTATGTATTATAGTTTCCTTCGATAGCCATCTGCTGCACATTGGCTCCAGTGGATTGGGGTGTGCAGTCTGGAGTCACATTGAAACTGAATCATAAATCGTGGCCCCAGTAAAATGGAGTTACAGGGCACTCACTGACCTGCACTGCCCTATGTTACAGTGTGCAGGGTTTTGCCTTACAAGATAAGGGCTTCTGCGTGGTTGCCATGGTTACACTCAGCCGCTAATAGCAACCTAGACATCGTGATTAGGTTCTGCATGAGATTTTTTGGCTGTTAGGTACCAACAGTGCATGCAGTGAATACAGCGATAGAGGTGAAACAGTGCTGGTGGGCTCCGGGTGTGTGTGTGTGTGGTCTGACGTAAGGAAGACGCTCGTGCCCTGCGAGTTTCAGCTGGTAGAAAGGCACATGTGACTGCATTCTTCAGTGATGAGTGAGATAATACCTTTGTTGTTGTGGTCATAAGCATTACCTTGTATTTTCACAGGAGCGATCACCACACTAATCACCATTGCTTTAAATATAACAGCATCGGCTCTACCAAAACAGTTCTTATGTCAGCTGGTCCCTGAGCACCTAGTGAAAACATATAAGCCCGATAATCTGGTTTCAGTTTCGTTTCATTATTTAATGTCTACAGATAGCCAGCAGCAAGTCAAGGAGTGGTTATATCACATGAATTGCATGCCAGATACAGTCTGTGCTAAACATTTTGACTTTGTTATGACTGGAAACTAGTTGTCACTAAACATAAAAACATCCAGGGCAGTGGGCCTCCAGGACCAGGCCTCATTTACCAATATCTTCCTAACTTTTTTCTTAAATTTGTTCTTGAGAAAGGTCCTAAGAAAAAGTCTACGTCAGATTAATGACATGTTCTTAAACCGCAGAACTGTTCGCACCTTTGTGCTCTTGAGTGTTTAGATTCTGTTCTTACCTAAGAACAAAACCCAAGAAAACACTGGTGAATGTCAGAATCTTTTTTAAAAAACTGCATAAGTGGGTTTTAAGAAGAAATATTAGCGTAAGTTTTGCTTCAGACCACTTTGGCTTTTTTTTAACATTTGGATCGTTAGCTATTCGACTCGGTTTAAACCCAATCCTTAAATTTAAAAGTGTCTCCTCAGCTGCCGTTCACACCTCTGCTGATGCCACCATGTTCTCGAATCCTTGCCGGCATGCAATGAACCTCAAAATATGTTGGCTGGCGAAGGATCCACCCGTTGAATCCTTCGTTGCCATGGAAAAGAAGGACACATTTCTCGGCCGCGTACGAAGGAGTCTTCGAAATGGGACGGCCTAGTCGCGCCACTGTGACGCAATCATCCATCAAATTCGGCCTCCGAAGGACGCAGCTCCTGAATTGGAACACAGCTAACATTTAAAGTCTCTCCAGCGCCTCCCATGAGCCTGTGCGCGAGGCTGTTCAGCATGGCCACGCCTCCCTCGCGTCCAGGACGCTACAACGTATAGTTATCTCATATCCTATATGACTAGTATAAAATATATAACTACTCGTTTGTAAAGTCTGGAACTCATTTTTTTTCTTTAACAAATAGTAAAAATCAGGAAGTGTTGACAGGGTTCTCGTGTGTGGACTCAGACCTCTGTTTTTAAGGGCGCCTGTCTCTTTAAGAGCGGAGCCTCTTGCTCTGCGGGAATCGGTGTAGTTGAGGCTGGAACAGGAGCGAAAGGCGGGCTGCTGTCTGGCGCGAAACACCAACGGAGCAGCGAAAAGAGAAAGGAGAGGAAAAAGCCGCCATCATCATCACCAGGTTTCCGGAGATAAACTGAGGACAGGGAGGCGGAGCGCTTTAGGTTTGGCTTCCTCTCAGCAGCAGGAGCCTGGAGTGTGTTAGAGTGTGTTAGAGAGGCCTGAGAGAGAGACAGAGAGAGAGACACGGAGAGAGAGGGAGGAGTGTGTAAACGCGCTCCATCCATCCTTCAGCACCCTCGCGCCAGCTGGGCAAAACCGCGCGCACCTTCATTATTCATCGCGCATGGAAAGAAAAATGTCCGTTCGGCGGATCGGTTTACGCGCTGCCCCGCGCGGCTGAGCGCGCACGAAGACTCCGCTCCTGCAGGCTTTTGTGTGCGCGCGTCTCGGATACAGGTGTGGGGCTCGATCTGGACATGCGCCAATGCGCGAGCTCCTTTAATAAGAGCATTTTTTTTTTTAACGCACATTTTCGTTTATCTGTATTGTTTATTTTATGCTTTTCTGCTTTTGTCTATTTATTTATACTTTTATTTTGTTTAATTTCTATTTTTATGTTTTAATTTGTTTTTTTTATCATCTTTTTATCCTGTTTGTCTTGATTAGTGAACTTTGGTTTGATTTATTTGTTTACCTATCTATCTGTCTTTATGGTCCTCGCATTATTGTATTTTGTTACTGGTTTGTTTGCTTTTGTATATTTTTTTCTGCTTCTATTTATTTTATTAAATTACATTTTTCTGTTTTTTTTTCATTTCCTTCTGTTTTTGCACTCATTATTTATTTTTCTATCAAAACTTATTTTTTTCATCACTTTATTCATCTCTGGCATGATTTTATTGCACTGATTTTATTTTTTAACCACTTTGAAGGTTCTATTAAATAAAGACATTATTATTAATATTAATATTAATAGTATTATTATTATTAACCACATATCCCCAGTCAGAGGTAGCACTAAAGCTTGCCATGACTGTGGTCCTATTGTGTACTAATCAGCACTTTCTATAGAGTTGGAGGTGGGGGGATGATGGGGGTCCCGTGGGTGTAGCACGAGAGGGGCGGTGGTGATGGAGCTTTGGCCTCGAGCCCATTGAAAAGGGAGAAGGGGGTTGGGGATGGAGGGATGAAGAAGGAGGGGCTTGAGGAGGCAGGGGGCGTGAGGAGTTAACATCAGCATACAGTAGAAGTTGTGGCCACCTCAGTGGCGTGTCTCTGTGCTCCACTCTTACTCAACCCGTCCTCTCCTCTCTCTTTCTCTCTCTCTCTCTCTCTCTCTCTCTCTCTCAGGACCCGCTTGCTCGTCCACCGGCTACCGCAAGGCAGACGATGAGATGTCCGGGACCACATCCCAGACGGAGCCCATCGATGCCACAGCCCGAACCGTCCTCCTCAACCGGACTCAGAACACCAAATTCTGCGACAATCATGTCAGGTGAGCTTTTACATGGAGACGCTTTAACCTCGTACACTTAACTGATGCTGTTAATGTGTTCTTATTCAGCAACCGCACTGTGCTAAATTTACTTGATTCAGATGGTTGCATTATTTCCACATGAATAAAACATGAAAATGAATATTACATCACCATCATCTTGTCTTACAGTTTGCTTACTTTTGGTAATAGCTGTGTTAATGTATTATTCATGTGGAAACAATGTACACAAATAAAGTACAAAATAAAGGAAATTCAGCACCACTTATTTCACTGTAGGTGCTGAAATATCACTTTTTTCAACATGTGGATACATAAAACAGTGCAAAATGACTGAAGTATTACAAATCTAAAGTCATATGCAAAAGTTTTGGTGCCTCTGTCAAAATTATGATGCTTTGTTGACAAGTCAGTACAGTCCTCTTTATCTCAGTCCGGTCTTCCGAGCCCCCCCAGACAGTCCACATTTATGCTCAATCCCAACTCCCAACAGAGACCGAGCAAAAATGTGGACCATCTGGGGGTCCCTGACAACAACTGCTCTGCAGGGAACACAAATTTCAGTGCACAATGTCTCTATATGTGCTTAGTTTAACATATTGAAAAAAATGAAACTTAATGTGTGGCATGTGCCCAACTTATGTAACAAATTACGACGTAGGTTAAATTCAGCAAACAAATAGTAATCATGCATTAAAATTTGCAGACGTGTGTTCCCGGTGGAGGACGTCTGAACTTCTTGTCATCTAGAAAAAAAAATGTAATTTGTCCAGGGAGCCCAGACTTTTACATAAGATACAGACGTGAGGAATTACACCCCTAAACTGATGCTTTTCATTCAGTTTTGGAATTTAAAGGCTGTTATCCAATAACTGCTATAAATTGTGCAGAAACTAACACAGATTATTCAGTACCCACTATGAAACTGATATGTAAGTGACGCAGTTACGAGAATTAAAGTGCATACAAGCCTTTGCAGTTAAGGTTTAAGCATCGCAAGCGTTTGGTACATGATTGCTGTCGTTTGCTGTTCTCTCCCTGCTTTCTGTTTCAGAATGAGTTTGGGGTATGATTTCTTTAGAGTAGTCTTTCTTTCTGAGTACAGTGCTGGCTGTTTGGGGTTTGTTTTTAAAATATAAAGACTTCTAGGTAGAGTATTTGGGACAGGAAGTTGCATACATATATGTGTGTGTGTGTGTGTGTATAATTACAGACCAGTTGTTTTTTCTCTGCTTTAAAGGGAAATACCAGCTATTTTTCAAATTTTCTGTATAATTATTCATGTGTACACAAAGTTATTTATGATGGTTTGTGATCTGTGTCGTTTTAGAGAAACTTGCAGAGTCAGAATTGTTCACAGTGGTGGTGTCTGAAGAGTTTAATCCCTCACGGAAAGCTGATACATGCAGTGGTAACAAATACATTGAATGATGCCTGAGACCTTATTTTCACGATAGTTTTGCGAAGGTTTTGGCCTAAAATGAATTTTTTTTAAATACATTCACGGTGAAGGGGTACATGCAGGGTGCTACAACGCACTATAGTCCCCAAGGAAAACTTACGTTTTTCAGAATTCTTACTCATCAAAATTATATATAAAAGCTCAGAAGACAGGTGTAGGTTCACTGGTCATTTTAGCTTGTAAGTAAAATGGTATTTTTGCATTGTAGATATTGTGAACTCCTGGTTCCTATCACCGCTGCTATAAGGAAATGTCAGCAAGACCCTTTTCACATCAAACCACTCTCAATGACTTCTGTATTCTGCTGAACTTTTGAAAAATTAGGTGGATGTCCCCTTTAGATAGTTTTTTCTCTTTCTGTACTATACACTCTCTTTAGTAAAATGTAAATGTTCAGAGCGGTGTTGAATTAGAAGTAGTTACAGTGATCTGTGAGCGTCGGGTGACCGAACAAGGTGAAGGAGGTGATGTTAGTCTAACGGGATTAAGTGCATTTTCTTGATTAAGCACATTTTCGGACTTTCAGCTCTCTCGGAGCGTGTAGGGAATCGGCCGTTTTTTTTCTCCCTCTCTTTCCCACGTTGCAGAGATTGTTTTAAGCATTTTAAACAGCTGATGCTCAGTTAATGCTCAGATAAAGTTGTTAGCGGTGCTTATGCTTCTCTTATTCAACACAGGAAGTCTCTGTGTTACGTGGGTTAATGGGGCTAATGGAATATATTTTACAAGAAGCGACATTTGCAAACGCATCTCTCTCAGCCACTCGTTTTATTCCTCCTGGCTTTCTCTCCCTGTCTGTTCCCGGAGCTCTGTCTGTTTGCTTCATTTGTTCAAGGGTCGGTCCGTTTAGATAGGCTGAGTATGTGCGTATACAGCATAACATGAGGATCAGGTTGAACCTGTTAGGAATCATTAGATAAGCTTGATGCTGCTTGATATATTGTTGTGTTCATATAATAGAATAAACAAGGGCAGAATAAATGAGGCGTTGAGTCGGACACACCATTTGAGTCTGTTGTGCTTTAAGTGGTTTATAAGAACTGTAGGATCCTTTGCTGATGTCCATGTAGGTAATAATAAATAAACTGAGGCTCTTTTAAGCTGTTAAGGCTGTTGAGGCTTTTCTGAAGGATCTCTGAGGTCAGAGTTCAGCTGATGTGTGAGAACAAGTACGCCATTGAGTCTTTTAAAGTCATTAGAAAGGCTGATAAAGAAATGACATTTCAGACTGCAGAGAGTTTAACTGGTATTTGTGTTTGTGTTTGTGCAGTTTTAGGTCCTGACCTCTTGAAAACTAGAGTAAAGCAGAGAAAAGTTTTTTTTAAAACCGAACGAACCAAAAAAAAAAAGTCCATTCTTATTACATATAGATACTTACATATATAGTACTGTGCAGAAGTCAGAGGCCACCCTTTGTTTATTTAATTTCCAGTCAAAATGGCCATTAAGTACACATTATGCATTTGTCAGCATCAGAAAAAGGCAGAAATATATTTAACAGAAAATTACACAGAAGCCTCAACTACACAATACAATATCAAAATGTTTCAGTACTGACCACTGATAAATGGGATAGGGGGTATCTTATATAGTGGGCAGCAACAGACGGTCTACAGTCTGTTAATTTATTTAATTTCCTGTCAAAACGGCCGTCAAGTACAAGTGCCTTTATTACAGTTTCCATTCTTTTTAGGAGGCTTGCTTTCAGTTTTTCAAAGAAATCTGCAAGAATGTTTTTTTCACACCTCCAGAGTTCAGCCATATGCAAAGGTTTCGGTGCCCCTCGTCAAATTACATATTTTGTGAAAGAAGTAAACACATGTTCTAAGGAAAACACAGTCCAGCCCAATTTCAGTGCATAATTGCTGTTAGCTGATCTTAACATATTGGAAAAAATAAAACTTTGGTCTGTGCAAAATTTATATTGTAGGTTTATTTTTTTCCAATATGTTAAACTCAGCAAATACATAGAAATTGTGCAATAAAATGTGCAGTAAATTTCCATACTCAAGTTCCTTGTTACTGGTAAGTATGCTGTAAGTTAATATTCAACTCGAAAATCAGCAAAACAGGTAACTCGACTGGGGATTTTCAAACTTTTACATATGACTATATGACTGAACACATCCTTTCAGACCCGTAGCACAGAGTTATCTTCTCATAGTGGAAGAATGGACAGAAACAGATCTGAAGTAAAAAAGGGGCTTGATTTTCTCCTTTTCTCCTTACGGTTTGTCTGATGGGGACAGTTTTGGTGGTCTACCAGGTCTTGCATGGTTGTTAGAGGTCCTATTTTCTGTATATCTGTATAGGTAGTTACATATACGTGACCCCATGTCCTGACATTGCATAAAAACAAACCTGTGTGTGTTTGATCCTAGTTCAGTTTTCATATTAGTAGAGGAAAATGCCAGCTTTTAGCTTCTCAGTGCTCTGTTTCACACGGAACATTTCCCACACACACACGCACACACACACACACACACACACACACACATACACACACATCATTGATCTGGCAGTTCAGCCTCAATATTGGATTTTGCTCTAAAAGGTTCTATTTTGGCTCCTGAAACAAGATTATGGTGGGTGTGTGGAAGGCCTGTTCTGCCCTGTGATTGGCTGGTGGTGTTTGGAGGCGTAGCTGCACTCTGATTCCTGGTGGGTTCCCGTTCCTCTGCTTGTCAATCATCGCCTGTGTCCTTGCTAGACGAGTGGAAAGTGATCTGTGGGAGATTAAAGGGTTGCTTATTCAAAGCACACTCCGCCTCCTTTATCTTCCTGCATGTTTTATTCACAACCCGGTTTCTGCTTCCACTGCGTTTGTGCAGAACGGCCGGTTGTCAATCATAGCGTAACTGTAGCGGCTCACTCAGCATGAGGCATTATTGTTATCATACTGGCAGTTATGCAGGACTGATGGTCATTACAGTGGCAGCTGTAGTAACTGAACTGAAGCTGTATGGTAGTGCTGGGATATGTGACCTAAAGAACAGGGTGGCATGAAAATCAACCTGCTGTGTGACATCAGACCTGGCCTGGTGCACTTCCAGGTCAGCCCTGAGTGGGTGTTTGATGTCGTTGTGTCGGGTGCGGCGTGTGTTACTCTGTGAACTCTGTGTGTGTGTGGGGTGGCAGAGGGAGTGATATTGTATCCTGTTTACAGAGAGAAGAAACAGACACACATACTTACTTCAGTAACACATAAATACGCCCGAAAGTGTATTTTGTTGCAGTTGTAAGGAAACTTTAAGCAAGGCAAGTTTTTTATATAGCACCTTTCATACACTGCTCACTTTAGAGTGCTTTACAAATGAGAAAATACAAAGATAATTCAAATTAAAGTGTAAAAAGTAAAGGAGGATGGAAGTAAAAATGTGATTAAAACATGATTAAAATAATAGATTTTACATCTCCAAAACAAAAACCTCTACATAATCTGACTTTCTGAGTCAGAACCGTTTACAGTGGTGGTGATAGGAACCGAACATCTGAAAATCTCTAATGCCTAAACAAGATTGCAAGAGGCCTAAAAACGACCTCACCGAAAGCGTTTACGTTAAAACAGTGACAAATATGCTGCCTGATGCCCGAGACATTGTTTTATGATGCATTTAAAAAAGTTTTGGCCTAAAATGTATTTTTAAAAGCTTGTTAATGGCAAAGAGGTACGTGCGAGGTGTTATAGTCCCCAACGAAAACATATATTTTTCTCAGATTTACCTCTGTTTTACCATCATCAACATTGACATTACATAAACAATCTCAGAAGACACTTGTAGTTTCCCTGGTCATTCAGTGTTGAGCTACAAAAAATTGCTATAATTGTGTTGTAGACATTACAACCCCTGGTTCCTATCACTACCACTGTAAAGTAATCATAATCTGGAAGTTGTGTTATTTTTTTGAACCATTATTCATTATCCATTCTTCAAGCAGTTGAATTAGGTGCTCGAAATGTGAATTAGGTGCTCCAGCTCCAGGTTGAAATAAATACCTCGGCCACATGCTGACCCTCTGCAGATAAGACTGGACGCTTTGGCTATTGAGGACAGAACCTATCCTTCCTATACAACCAATACAAAGTCCCTAGCAACCATGTCACTGTTAGCTACATGCATCAACCAGATAGAGGAAGTGCTGCCTGGTTTTGTGTTATGTTTTGTCTTTTTAAAGTGAACAGAAGGGATCAATTTTTTGAAGTAGGGGTGTAAATCTCTTTCTCTGTTTACTGCTTTATTTTCCTTTTTATTATTGTTGATTTTTTTTTTTTTACAATTTTTACAATGTGTAAATTTGAAAATAGCCTGAGAATTAATGTGAGTTCAGAATTTGAAAATTATAGTAATAAATTCCAGTCAATTCTAACATTTAAAAACAAGTGTACTGGTACATTTTTACACCTTTAGTTGCTTTTTGACACAGGGCCTGATGGGTATTGTAGTTTTCTTTGCTGGCCTACTGCTTAAAACATCTACACATCACTGAGATGTGCATCCAAGCAGTTCCTTATAACTGACAGCGTATAGTGCAGTGGTGAGCCGTTACTATTAGAGTTAGGCCTTCAGTTTGGACAATACATGTAAAACCCCTGTCAAAGATTAGGAAATAAACGCCTTTACAGCAATGCTATTTATTGCTAGCACCACTATGGGATTCTAGTACTCTGTTAGCACTAACCTGACAGCAATGCACATTAACATTTTTTGGCCTTCCTAGATTAAACACTGACATTTGACATTTGTAAAAGGCATTCTGTGGCTTGTTTGATGTTTGTAACAGACATTAACATATATTTTACTGTGTGTGTAGCGATTTTACAGTGACTCAGGTCAGTGAAGAGCTCTGGCATAGAGTTGCTGCTGTTTTCCGTTTCTACCAACTATTGGCAGACTAAACCCGATTAGACTATGGCTCATATTCGCAGACAGAGACATTTCTGGGGCTTCTAGAAAACCTATAGTGATGATTTTTATCTCAAAATTAAAATTTCCACCCACTAAAAATCTCAATATGATTGACTGACTCCACTTTCAGTTCCTAATTATGCTAGTGGTTACTCTGACATAGTAGGCCTTCAGTTCAGCTCCTGAAGTCCTAACCAATGGTAGAGCTCACTTGGCTATATCAAGCTAGATACCACAGAGAATTTTCCATTGGGCGTTTGAAGAGTTTAACCTTTTCTTGCCAACCAGAACTTAACAGTGAAATGAGTGTAAAGTAAACTAAAAATGACAGACATGTAGTTTTTTTTTTATTTCACAGAAGTCATTATACCTTCTCTGAAGGCCTGGAAGGCCCTAAGAGTTGTTGTAATGAGTGTTTGATTCTGTTCCACCCAAAGACCTGACCACAGTCGCTGCCCTTTTTTCCCCTTTTTTGCACTTTAAGGCACTCGTTCTGTTTTTAGATCGACAGATGGACAGCCTTGAGAGAAAAGCAGAATTTTCAGACATTTGGGTTTATATTTAGTGTCTTTAACAGCTATTTGTAATGCCTGGAAAACACTTACTGTTGCTTATCATCTATTTAAGGCCCACTCAGTGATGTTCAATAGACCTGAGTGACTGACAGGTAGAGGCTGCCAAGGTCCAAGCTTGTACTTTTGGACTCCAGCACTAAATTTGGAGCCATGGACAGAGCAGTGATGTCAGGGGGTTTGTGAGAGTGGGTGGACGCCACCAAAACACACGCAGAGGCTTTTCAGAGCAACCTGAAGTGGGATTGATCCTAAATTGAGCTCGCAGCGCTACTTCAGTGAACAGCGGCTATATTTAGATCTGCTCTGCTTTTAAGATGCCCAGAATAAGGCCAGCTTTAATGACTTTTTATTTTTGTAATTGCCAATGACTAAAAGAGCACTTCACGTTTTATTGACTTAGGTTCCATTATGTCCACCTTTGGAGTAGCGTTGACATTTGAATGTGAAATGTTATTGTTGTATGCAGTTCATAAAAACTGGTATTTAAATGCCATTGGAAAATATTCAGAGCAATTTTACCAGCAATTCAGAAGAGTCAGTAATATGATTTGGAAAATGGGGTGTTTTTATATTAAGATCGATGCTTACAAGATCTGTCTTATATTTTCACAGCACAACAAAGTACGGCATCCTCACCTTCCTGCCTCGCTTCCTGTACGAGCAGATTCGGCGAGCCGCCAACGCTTTCTTCCTCTTTATCGCCCTAATGCAGGTACAGTACACAAAGTACAGTAAGGACCCTGTCCCAACTTTACTTCTGAAGACTTACATACATTCACTATTCACTTTGTTGGAAATCCCTACCAAGAAATACAGTACCAGTCAAAATAGTCATTACATTCATTTTTAAGGAGGAATTCCTGAGAAGATTAGATATGAGATAATTCACTGCATACGGAAGGAGAAAATAGTGAAAACACTGGAGTTTCCAAAACTGTAGTTCAAAAAAATATGAAAAAGCTGCAGAGAAAATGGGACTCCAAACAAGTGTGCAAGACCTGGTAGACCCCCAAAACTGTCTCCACCAGATAAACAGAACTTAAAGCTTTCATCTTTGAGAGAGTAGGAGAATATAGAAAAATAACCCTGCACATTTCTTTGAAAAACTGAAAGAAAGTCTCCCAAGTAGAATGGAAGCTGTAATAAAAGCAAAGATTTGACATGCTAAATATGGAAAATTTATATTGTATTTATTTATTGAAGCTTCTGTATAATTTTCTGTTAAATATAGTTTTTCTGGATGCTGTAAAAGTGTATAACTGTCAGCCCCTAAAAAAGTGTACTTAAAGTTAATTGTATTAAATAAATTTAAGTAAAGTTCAAGTGCATTTCCTGAGCATACTTTATGTAATAAGTATACTAATACCAGTGTACTAGTAGTATACTTGTAAGTGTACTATTTCGAAACTTTTTCAGACCAAATTGGCCCACTTTTTAGTTTGTAAAAGTTTACTCTTAAGTGTACTTTAGATGTAAGAGTAGTCAACTTTAAGTACACAACTAGTTTACATTTAATAGTTTACAGTTATTTTGTACTGCAACTATAGTATGAACTACACTTTAAGTGAACTTACAGGTACTAGTTATATACTTCTAGCCCACTTTTTAGTTTATGACAGTATACTTTAAAGTATAGGTGAAAGAGTAGTAAACTTTGAGTACACAACTAGTTTATAGTATTATTTTGTACTGCAGTTATATTGTGAACTAGGGGTTGCACAACAAGTCGACAGGTATGTGATGAAAGTCGAGTCAACAGGGACTAATTACCAATGATGTGATGAATAAAGCCAGAGGAGAAGGAAATGCTTTGCAACAAGCAACTTTAAAAATCCGACTTTAAAAATTTGTGACGAAGCCAGACTCCAGAGGTCAGTGGTGACATGTCCTTTCCAAAAAAGCCCTGGATTGCCTTGCTAGCCTTCAGGGAACCAGAGATACGGACCCTGAAAACACCAGGCTCCTCACCTATTGTCTTTTCCTAGGCGTCCACGTTGTGTTATAGTCATATTCAGGCGATCAGCAACTAGTTGACATCAAGCTTAAAGCGGCATCACTGACTAGTGAAGTTGACAAGTCAGCTAGTCTGTGCAACCCGTACTGTAAACTACTAAAAGTGAACTTATAGATGTATTATTAGTTTACTTATTAAATACTTCTATCCTACTTTTAGTTCATGAAAGTACAGGCCATGAGTATATACAAGTAAATGCATATGCAAGTATAAGTACAGGTTTAAGCCAAACATACTTAAACTTTTCTGTATACTTGCCAGTATAAGCCAAGTTTACTTAAGTATAATTTTGTTTAATATATCTCTGATTAGTACATAAAAGGTAAACTGAAAGCATGCTCACTTATTTTTAGTTTAAATGAAGTATACTAATAACACACTTAAATAAACTTCTTTTTTGTAAGGGCAGGTACCCACTCCCTCGTTCATCAGTGGTCAGCTTCTGGCCAGAGGAGCACTGTTGGCCAGATATTATTTGGGTGATAGATCATTCTGACATGCACACACAGCAATAACAATGCAAGGTAGTGTGTGTGATGATGGTGTGAGAGTGGTCAATCACTTTGCCAAGAGCAGCGCTGTGGTCAGGAACTGACCACTCATGAATGAATGAGGATGGCTAACACAAACTGAGCATCAAAAGATGGTCTACAACCTCTGGTGGAGACACAAGGGAGGGGTTTCTAATAAAGTGACTATATTAAGCAACAAAAGACAAACTATTATAATGTCAAACTACAGGGTAACTGCTACATGCGCCACACAAGATGATGATTAAATAATGCAAAAGGCTTTTATGTGTGACCTGTTGCATAGTCGTGCACCTGTTCAGCATTTGTGGAAAAGCTGATATAATAAAAGGGAGACCTCTTTTCTTGAAACTGAGTGTAAATCCAGAATTAATGTTGCATCTTTACGTCACAAACTTCACAACTGCTCCCTTTCAGCTAAACAGCATGGGAAGCGCTGAAGTCCATTCTGAGATTAGCCCAAAATCTTTCCCAGAAACGGTTCTTTATTCTCTTCTAGTAAAGAGAAATCCACTACAGGATGACTTGTCCTGTATCACTCCCACCTTTCTCATTGATCACAGATGAAAGAGCCTGTTCTAATGTTCTACTGCGCTTGCCAAGTGGCCTCTAAGACCCGCGGTGCATTAACCAGAATGGACCCCAGCTAGATGAAAGCTGTATTTCGATAAGGTCTTTTGATCTGACCCTTTTGCTTTATTTATTTGCTTGGGGTTAGAATGTAAGAGTGGCTTCTTAAGAGCATTTAAATAAAGAGGAATGCAGAAATTTCAGTCTAGGTCTCTGTGTTCACCTGCAGCAAATCCCGGACGTCTCTCCGACGGGTCGCTACACCACCCTGGTGCCACTCATCTTCATCCTGACTGTGGCTGGAATCAAGGAGATAATTGAGGACTATGTGAGTAAGAGCACTCTCTGGTGGCTGGGGTACTGCTGAAACGGCTTGTTGACTGGACCTTTTGTGAGGCGGAAGTGGAAAAATGTGGAGAAATTTAGGCCTTAAAGCATGAATTGTGCCCTTAGTTGGAATTTATCTGAGCTTTGGGAAAAATGCGTGTAGATAACCTGTCTAACTCCTAGCTAGGACCAGTGCCGTAGCGTGTAGATCACTTTTTTGGAATGTAGAACGGCTCTGGTAGTGTAGTCAGAAAACTTTTAATGAGAAAAATTGCCACTCAGTAATGTCTTCTGGGTTTGTCTGAGGCTAGAGGGTGTGAGTGGGACAAAATGAGTTGGTCCTATGGAGCTTCGGTGCAGAATTGTAGTTTGTAAGAGCTTAATCATTTTTATACAGACAAATGCACTAAATTACTCAACATAAAAAAAAGTTCAACACTACTGATATAAAGTGAGCATTACAGGACTTTCTAACAGTGTCTTATGTGCATTTATGACGCTGGTGAGCAGGAACCGCTTTATGTGGCCAACCAGCTGATCAGCTTGCCAACCAATCAGCATTGAGTAGCAGTAATGCTAGCATCCTACTGCCCAAAACCAGCTTGCTGTAGAAAAACAGAAATATACTGTTTTTTTTCCAATGGAATGCATCCTTCTACTTTCCGAAATTAAAGGAAGTTCTAGCATAAAAGGCTATAAACATGTTTGATTTTTGTTTTTAGCTATTTAGCTCCATTCAGCCTCATTCGCTGAGGACTCGCTTATGGGCGCCCTCTTGTGTTTGGCAGTCATTTTTTGAAATATGCTAATGGGAGAAATAGGAAGTGGTCAGGCTTCCATGAAACTGGCTCTGGTGTTAAATGAAGACTTATTCATGTACAGAGTGCTTAAGCATCTGATAAAGCTTGAAAGTGATTTGTATGATCGCTGCAAACAGCGTGTTGTGCTGCAGTTAGCATCCTCTGTCGTTAGCATGCTGGATGTTTGCTAATGTTGGGGAAATTAGCTTGCAAGTAGGCTTGATAATAGAGGCATGCACTGATTTTTTAACATTAGTACACGAACATTCCAAAGACAAACATTGCTGTTACACTACATTGTGTTATTGTTTCAAAGCACCACTCTGCTGTAGCACCCTTGTTGCTTTTTTTGCTCGTAATCTCCACAAATTAGCAACTAACATTTATTTCTGAAGCACCCTCAGTGGTCGTGTTCCTGCAGTTCACTTTCAGCAAAGAGGAAATGGATTAAAGCGATAGAAACAAATTTGCGCAGTTTTCAGTCTGATTTAGGCGCAATGTGATTTAGTGTGATTTAGGCACATAGTTTGCTAATTGGTGGACTACAAGCTTCTATTACTTGTTAGCTGCATTAACCAGTAGCACCAGTTAAAAACTTTAAAAATATGCACATTTTGGACACCAAAAATATCATAATTAATTTTGTTTTATTTTATTACTGTTTTTGTTTTGGGTTTTTGCCTTTATTTTTAAACTCACTGCTTCACTGTAAATAACCTTGAGCTGCTACATGCATTAAAAGCATTCTATAAATAAAGATATTATTATAAGTGTGGAAATTATGTAGGCCAAACTTTAGCTTTAAAGGTTTATTCCACCAGTTTTTCTATATTTCTTCAAAATTTCATGGTTCATTGTAATGAAACGTAAAGACTCAGACTTCTTTACAGTGGTGGTGATGGGATCCAGGGATCCTGATGACTACAGCACAAGTATAGCCATTTTATTTACTGTCCAAAACAACCAGTGAACCTACATGTGTTTTATATGTAACATTGATAATGATAAATTAGTGATAAATCTAAAAGAAGAGTTTTCTTTGGGTGCTATTTTGCAGCAACCTGCATGTACCTCTCTGCCATAAGTGCTAATAAAAATTATGTTTTAAGCCAAAATCTTATGAGAACTATTCTAAAACAATGTTTCATGCATCAGACACTGTATTGGTAAACATTCATGTGATAACTTTCTGTGAGGGAGCTTTTAGAGGCATTAAACTTCTCAGACCTCTGGTTCCTATCACCACCACTGTGAACAATTCTGACTCAAGGCTCTCTAGAACTGAGCATTTCACACCAAAGCACTCAGAATGACTTTGTTTACATGTAAACAATTACATTCTGCAGAACTTTTGAGAACTTGCTGGAAGGCTGTGTCTGTTTTAAATTGCTAACTGACTGACATTTTTTCCCACAGAAAAGGCACAAAGCAGACAACACAGTGAATAAGAAGAAGACGACAGGTTGAGTACTGCATGTTTGTACGTGTTTCAGAGATTATCCCAAGGGAATATCATGTTATCTTACTCTCATGGTGCTTTTTTTCCTCAGTCTTGCGTAATGGAGCATGGCAGACTATAATCTGGAAACAGGTACCTGCATGTCTCCATTTTTCCCTTTCCTCTCTTCTCCCCTTTCCTCCCCTCTTCTCTTTTTCCCCCTTTCCACTACTGTTTGTCAGTTTCTTCTGTTTCAGTGACTACAGTTGCTGTGTGGGTCAGTTACCAATGCTTTCATTACTGCCCTCATGTGTACTTTATCCTTTTGTTCCGTCTGCTCATGTTCTCCACTCTCTCTCTCTCCCTCTCTCTCTCTTTCTCCCTCTCTCTCTCTCTCTCTGTTCTTCCCCCGTCTCGTTTGTCTCCCCTCCTTTCTTTTCTCCCGGATCTCTCGCTCATTCTCATTCTGGATCTCCCCCCCTCTCATGCTGTCGCAATGCTGCACCTGCCCACTAGGTGGCAGTGGGAGACATAGTGAAGGTGACCAATGGGCAGCATCTTCCCGCTGACATGGTCATAGTGTCCTCCAGGTCAGCAACACTGTGTGTGTGTGGTTGTTTGTGTTGGTTGGTATGAGCATGTGTGCATGTGTGTGTGTGTTTGTAAATAAATCTTTGTGTTATTATTGTTTATTTTGCTGTATTAATATTGGACACATTAAGGCCCAATCCCATTTCTTATTTTTACCTCTAGCCCTTGTTTTCGAGTGTCGCTTTGCCCCTTGGAACTGAGTCACAAGGGGTAGTGGTTGAAATTTTCCCCTCCAAAATGGCAAAACCCTCAAATAAAGAAGAGCATTACTTCATTAACAGGCTACTAGCGCTGCTCTGTAGGCGACCCTGCCAGTCTGCAGTGACAGCAGAGGAGGGTAAAGTTCAGTAACCTTGCTGCTGGACTTTAAATGCCTTCGAGGGGTTGGGGGGGCAACAATTATTTATTATCACTCACCCCTAATTCTTCAGCTTCTTGCTCAAATTTCCCTGTTCCACCTTAAATGGAGCAGCAGTTCTGACGCCTGAGGCACCAGAATGTAACTGCTGCACCATTTAAGGTGGAACGGGAAATTAAGCCAGCTAGCAACAGAGAAAATGGGAATGTGGAAATGGGATTGGGCCTAAGATTTGCATATTTGTAAACTCAGTTTGCATACTTGCATATTTGTAGTAGTGTGGCTCTAAGAATGCGTCTCTGTCATGATGAAATGAAAATGTTTTGATATTGTGTTATGATTGCTGGAGGAGTGTGTTAAGTTAAAGGGACACTCTGGCCTAAATGAAAAATAAGACCATCGATACTTTTATGAACTCACTCACATTCTGCAGTGGGGCCGCAATAGTCCAGCTGGTGAGATCTTCTGCTTTAACAACTAGGAAAACCACCTTCCTATGATGCATCCTGAAGGTGGGAGGAACTTTTGAAAGACTACAAGCACTTTGTGCTGGGAGCTAAACAGCTCAGCTACACTACAAATCTATGTTTATTAGCCTGTACATCAGTTTATTTATCACCGTGGGGTACATTCTCATTGGTTGTATTATGTGTTTACGCAATGCATGCTGGGTATTGTAGTCATAGAACACTGATAGACGAAAAAGGATATGGAATCATGAATATTGTGAAACTGATGAGGCTGAGGGTTACAATGGTGCACTACTGAATAATACATAATACAACATTTTAACCCTTTAACCTTTTAATCACTGTTCTAATTAAACAGAGTAACTCTCGCAGATTTAAATGAGCGAGACGCTTGGTTCCATAGAGGTAAATGCTAGTTTTAGGCTAGAATGTCCCTTTAGTGCTGAATGTTGTGTTGAAACAGTGTATTAAAAGGAAAACACCTGTGTTTACAGTCTAATCTCTATTGCAGTTGCATGTAGCCTACTTTCAATTATCTACATCAACATGATGAAAAGGCTGCTCACAAACATAAATGTTTATGCCCAGAATTCAGCAGTTCCCAGTGACTTCTATTTTATGTGTTTTTGTGTCAGCAGGTTCTCTGTTGTTTTTTAATTATGTTTTATGGAACACAATGTTAGAAAACAACAGAAAACCTGATTTTTTACAGTAATCAACTGGACAAATAGAGATTAGATTGAAAATGCTGGAATATTCCTTTAAAGCTGTGTTGATGTGTTGGGGTGTGGTGTTAGCATTACATGAATGTTGAGAAAACTCTGCTGTTTCTCTCACAATGATTTTCTCATGGGAATGTTTGGCTTGTTGTTTTTTTTGGTACAGTGAGCCTCAGGCCATGTGCTACACCGAAACATCCAACCTGGATGGAGAAACCAACCTCAAGATCCGACAAGTCAGTTACACCTCATTTATGCTTGTGTGTGCGTGTGTATATTTTCTGCTGAGTTATAAGCTCCACACACACTACTGTGCCTTTACCATGTGTCACTGCTGTGCTGGTTCCACCTCCTAAATAATATCCGGTCAGTGGTGGTGTTAATGGTCAGAGTAAATAATTTTAGCCAAACAGCCACCGCGACCCTAGCTGGACTAAGCAGTTAACGACGACGATGATGATGATGATAAAACAGCCAGTGAGTGTAGGATAAACGATAAAAGCCTAATAACTGCCAACTCAGGGTATATGCAGCATATTTTGTAAAAGTCAAAGGTCAAACAAAGATGCTGATGATGTACTCAAACAATGAACTGACCACCCCAGAGAGACCTCATTATCACTGAATGTGTTTGGGATTACTTGGATTGTGGGAAGGACAAAAAGCAACCAACTGAACTTTGGAGGTGTGGCGGAAGATCCCAAGAACAAACTGAAAGCAAGTGTCCTGAAAATAAACAATAAAAAGCTGTAAGAAAGGCAATGTGTGGACACACTAAATGCTGAAAAACATTTAAATTGTATTAAGTTGAGGCTTCTGTGTATTTTTTTTGTTAAATATGTGTTTTCTGCTTTTTTATCCTGTTTCTGAAAAAGAAAGAACTTGCAGGTGTGTTTTAGATGAGAGTTACAGTGTGTGTGTGTGTGTGTGTGTGTGTGTGTGTGTGTGTGTTCGTGTGTTGTAGGGTCTCTCTCTAACGGCCGCTGTTCAGTCTGTGGAGGAGCTGATGGCTCTTTCTGGCCGGCTGGAGTGCGAAGGGCCAAACAGACACCTGTACGACTTCACTGGCACATTACGCCTGGACAACCACAAGTATGTGCATCTAAATGCTTCAGCTTCTGTTTCATGTCTTCTGCACTTTTTTATATATATGCACTAAGTGTGGGTCAGTATGTGTGGACCACACCTCTGCTCTCCATTACAGTCTGGATTTTGATTCCCCACCTGGACAAACACACCAGCCCTGTACCAATAAATGTCCTTGGGCAGGACTCCTAACGCTATGTTTGCTTACTTCTGTAACATGATGAAATTATAAGCTGCTCAATAAGAGCAAATGCCCTAAAGTAATATTAATTATATGTGTAATGTTGCACAAATGGTTAACATTCAGTTTTATTCTTTGCAGTCCAGTTCCTCTTGGTCCAGACCAGGTTTTACTCCGCGGTGCCCAGATTCGAAACACGCAGTGGGTTGTGGGTATCGTAGTCTACACTGGTCATGACTCCAAACTCATGCAGGTGAGTGAAATTTAATATAGAATAGTGAGAAATATTTTCTCACAAGCTCATTTGGGCAAAGTGTTCCAACAATCACCATTACCATTAATCACTAGTCAAGTTTAGGAATTTATAGATACTTGCCAGAGAATGTGTAGTGAGGAGAGTTGTCACTCAGTAACTTCCTGCTGGTCAGACGCTTTGGGCACTGAATGAAGACAAAATGAATGAGCTCCTGTGGAACTTTTGTGTAAAATCATAGAATGTAAATGCTCAGTAAATTTTACATAGAAAAATGCAGTAAGCATACAGTGAACAGCATGCAGTATTTCAACAGAGCGTTTACATTTTTGAGTGCTTTCGAGCTCAAGTTATAGGATTTTTTAACAGTGCTCCATGTACATTCATGATGTCAGTGAGCGTGAACCAGTTCACTCTGGTCAAACAATGGTTGTAGTTAACTTAACGCAGCCCTGGAAAACTTAACACAATGCTGGCTGGACCTAAAACAGTGCAAACAGTTATGTTTTTATTCTAAGGATTTATTTCTCCCAAAGGGGTTGCCATTTATCTGATTTCCTCTTTCTGGCAGCTCATTTTTTTACGTGCTGCCACAATATACTATAGTTTTTATTTCCAGCAGAAATGCAGTAAAAACAGTTTAGTTCAGGAGTTTGTTATTTAAAAAAAAGCTCTTGTAGGTCATAAATTATAAATACTTTATTCTCAGGTACATGGTTCAATAAAAGAGAAAGGAATAATAAAAAAACACTAAAAGTTTGGCTCTAGCAGGTATTCTACATGTGACGTTTTCCCCTGTACACCTTAACTTGTTGCCCTAGATGTTTTTAATACATTACTTACATTTAATTTGATTTGTGTCAAAAATGTAATGTAAACTTTCACACACTTTGATTTCGTCTGCAACAAAAAAAGGCAAATGCCACAAGATCAGCCATTGTTGAAAGCTCATGCTAGGGGAAGTAGAATGTGTCCGAGTTGACAGTCAATGACACAGTCAGCTCACCGACCAATTAGCACTTAATAACAGTAATGCCAACCAATCAGCACTCAGTAGCAGTAATGCTAGCGTCCTGCTGCACAAAACCTGTTTGCTGTAGAAAAACGGAAAGATACTGGTAAGTTTGTAATAAATCCTCCCACTTTACAAAATCACAAATGGTTAGAAATGTGTATAATTTTTTACTTTTAGCGCTCAGCTCCATTCACCCCCATTCATTAAGGACTTGCTCAGGCTGCACTCTAGTGTTTTGCTGTCATATTTTTGATATAGCAGGAGGAATAAGACATGACCAGGCTCCCCTTAAACAGCTCTATACTTACCAATTTACATATGCAAGCTCTATCTACAAATGTGTTATTTTGTTTGTTTTTTTGATGATATTTACTTTGCATGTGTGAAAGATAACAGTTTTAAAACAGATCAAATATATATATTTTTATACATTTCATTATGTAATCAACCTAATGGGAGCATTGTCATTGTCGTTTCCAATCTTCCAAGTTTTGATTAGCTACAACAACATAGTCCAGCTTGGTACAGTAGTATTTAAAGGGCCAATATTTTGGAAAACTGAATTTTCTGAAATAAAAGAGTGTATAAACATTGAGTTTCACAACCCACTGTTCACTTCATGCACATCATACAGTCCACAAATGGAAACTAAACTGCAAAAACAACTCGTTATGAATTGAATCACTGTTTTTGTGATGTCATGAAAACAGATTTACATGTATCTGCCTATTCAGCCTACAGCAGTTTTGCTCCACCCGTTTAGACTGAAGATACAAGGAGTGTGTCAGCTCAGACTACTTTTTTGAATGAGGCACAATACAAGGCAGCCAATCAGAACAGAGATTATTTACATACATCCATCTTAAAGGCGCAGTAACAAGAACAGCCAGAATGAGATGTTTGCCGAATTTCTATAAAGCTCCGCCCACGGGGGGCATTTGTGGGTGGAGCTGTGGAGCCTGGACAGGTCGGTTGTTTTACCGGTTTTGACTAGCAGTAACATTACTGATTCTGTCCTGTAGAACTCCACTAAAGCCCCTCTGAAGCGCTCGAATGTGGAGCGGGTGACTAACATGCAGATCCTGGTGCTGTTCGGGATCCTTCTGGTGATGGCTCTGGTGAGCTCCATCGGGGCAGCTATCTGGAACAACCAGCACACTGACGAAGCCTGCTGGTACCTCTCCCGCGCAGGTATGCACACCTCTCCACACTGGACATACATACAGGAGAGCTCTAACTGTACCCCTGAGGTGTTAAGGATACTCATATTAACATTCACTGCCTTGTACTGCATCCAAAAATATAAAAGTATACAATTTGATTGTACTTACATATATGTTTTTTATGATTCCACCAAGGTGCTACAGTCTTGATTCGGGAAATGGATTTTGACCAAAAAAAAGAATAATATTGTGCCGAAAACCCACAATTCATATCGTATCATGATGTTATACCTGTATTGTACACCTGTAACATGTCACGTGTCTTTTGCTACTAGGTGACATCTCCCTTAATTTCTGGTACAATCTGCTGACCTTCATCATTCTGTACAACAACCTGATCCCCATCAGCCTGCTGGTCACACTGGAGGTTGTCAAATTCACACAGGCGCTGTTCATCAACTGGGTGGGTGTTTAAGACAATGGCAATGTGTTAAATTCAAATTTACACAGTTTTCCCTTCTCATCCCAAAATGTAGAGGATCAGCCGAAACATGTTTGGTGTCTGAAGTTTGCTTTTTAAGTTTTGCTCTGCAGCCACAAGAATAATGTATCCAACAAGTATTGGAAGCAGTTAGCATTGCACACATAACTGCATACCTAAATCATCACAGACTTGCTTCAAACCATAGAGCTGTTAAAGGAGAGGTCCGTCAGCTTTTTTGAAATTTCTTTTATCAAGACAAGGCAGGTTTAATTATATCGTACATTTCATATGCAAAGGCAAATCAGTGTGCTTTACATAAATAAAAGCAAAAGGAAATGAAAAAGAAAAATATAAACTTCAAAGTAAAAAATAAAGATATGATAAATAAATATAGACTTAAAAAATAATAAAGTGCTTAAAAGTGTAAAACAGTAAAAATGAAATGCTAAAAAGATACAAAGTGCAGTAACTTTAATAAAACAGATAATTAAAAGGAAGTACAAAGTATATAAAAGCAAAATTATTATTTTTTTTTAATTAAAATTTGCTTATTAAAGGTAAAGTGCAGTAAAAATAAAGTGCAAGTGGTTTAATATGAAATTCATTGTAGAGAAATTGTTCACAGTGGTGGTGAAGGGAACCAGACGTCTGAAGCGTTCAATGCCTTTTAAAGCTGTTTTGCAGAAAGTTATTTTATGAAATGGTTACAAATATATGATGTGTGATAGATTGTTATATGTTAGTTTTATGACAAAATTTTGGCCTAAAACACATACAAGGCAGAGGTTTACATGTAAGGCATTGTTAGGAAAAATATTTCTCAAGCATATTTTATCAGATCTACCACTATTTTACCATCATCATCATTAAATATAAAAACTCAGAAGACGTGTAGGTTCACTGGTCATTTTGGATAGTAAATAAAATGGATGTATTTTCATTGTCGATGTAGTGACCCCGGTCCCTATCCTAATCTGTAAGTTTCTCTACAATGAATAATTTCACGTCAAACCGCTTTGAATGGCTTTCTTTACACCGCAATGAATGAATTATGCATAGATTTTGAAAAACACATGGAATTCCTTGTCAAGTAGTCTGTAATAGACTTGCTTATATGGTTTCTGACACTGTATGACATACTGTTATTTATACAAAAAATATGTTGCATAGCTGAAAAACTCTGTTCCCAGCTGTACTTTTATCCAACACATCTACATGTCCTGGCTGACTGACTACATTTGTGGTATGGATTGTGTGTTTTTTTAATAGAAATTATTCATGTAAGTAAGGCTGTTAATAATCGCTGTGTGCTCCCAGGATGTGGAGATGTATTATTCTGAGACTGACACGCCTGCCATGGCTCGGACATCCAATCTGAATGAAGAACTCGGCCAGGTGAGAGGAAGCCCCCCTTCAGGCTCTAAACCAATCACAGAGCACTTCTTATCAATTTCTTATTCCAAAACTCTTTCATTTGTTTGTTATTTGATGCATCTTTCCCCTCTCTGTCTCTCTCTCTCTCTCTCTCTCAGGTGAAATATCTATTTTCCGATAAGACGGGCACTCTGACCTGCAATGTCATGCACTTTAAAAAATGCACCATAGCTGGAATTACATATGGGTAGGTTTAGCGTTTAATGGCTTGACATTTGTCTTCCTGTTTCAGTTAGGATATTTGTGTTGTTGTAGATTTCCCAGCTAATAGTGTATTGATCAGTTGTTGCGTGTTTATATTTGTGCGTGTGTGCATTGATCTATAAGTCTTTCTGCAGGCACTTCCCTGATCTAGACTGCGATCGATCCATGGAGGATTTCAGGTGAGGAGCCGTCCTGTCTACAGTAATTCAGCTAATACATAAAGCTATTTTTTTGGGCTTTTCTCAGGGCATAATGTTTCACTGCGGTGTGATCTCTCTCTCTCTCTCTCTCTCTCTCTCTCTCTCTCTCTCTCTTTTTCACTTCCCAGTAACCTCCCTTCTAGCAGCCACAACTCTACAGAGTTTGATGATCCCGCTCTCATTCAAAACATTGAAAAAAATCATGTAAGTGCTGTTTCGCATCACTGCTGTCATCAGAAAACCTTGTATCTCTGAAGTAGTAAAACAGAAAGAAAACAGCATTTTTAACTTAACATCTGTTAAATGCATAATTTTGGTTGCTCCTGGTCAAATTACATGCTTTGTTGCTTTTCTATGTGGAAGTACACATGTACCAAGTGTGTATAAATTTGACCATCACTCCTGTATGAGCTTGTTGGACATCCTATTCCAAAACCATGGGCCTTATATGGAGTCGCCCTCCTTTTGCGGCTAACAGCCTTCACTCTTCTTGAAAGGCCGTCCACAAGATTTTGGAGTGTGTCTGTAGGAATTTGTTCCCTTTTCTGTCAAAAGAGCATTTGTGAGGTCAGGCACTGATGTTAAAGTTGTTCACTGGGGTTGTACCGAATCATGGCTGAGCTGTTGTTGCTCCTTTTCACAATAACAGCACTCACAGTTGTCTTGGGCGGATCTAGCAGGGTAGAAATTTCACAAACTGACTTGTGACAAGGATGCATCCTCTGACAGTGCCATGTTTAAACTCACTGAGCTGTTAATTACGATTCATTCTACTGCCAGTTTTGGTCTATGGAAATTGCATAACTGTGTGCTTGATTTTATGTACCTGTTAGCAGTGAGTTTGCCTGAAACGCCTGAACTCAATAATTTGGCCATATAATGCAGTGTAACATCCTCTACCGAGAACACACTTCTGTGTTTTTTAACGTTTTTATTTGCTGAATTTCATATATTGGAAAAAAGTGGTAACAATAAAATGTGGCCTGTACAAAGGTAGTGGCACATTTTATATTTCATGTTTTATTGTTTTCCAACATGTTAAACTCGACAAAATAATAGAAATTGTGCACTAAAAATAGTAGAAATGCCATATTTAAATGTGTTCTCTGTAGAGGATGTGTTAACTTATTTTCTGTCAGAAAATCATTAAGCTTTTTGCGTATTACTGTAACATAAAAAAGATTGTAATTTAATTGTATAATAAATTAAAAGCAGTTCGGAACCATTTCATTTTTTACCTGAAATGTTCACAGCTGGTGTTGTGGCACAAAACAAAGAGTTCAGCGATCTTCTGGGTCATCCTGCTTTTAATGTTCTCTTTTTAATGCTCTGTCACTCTCTGTCTCTTTTTTTTAGCCCACCTCTCCTCAGATCTGTGAGTTTTTGACCATGATGGCTGTGTGTCACACTGTCGTTCCTGAGCGAGATGGAAATCAGATCATTTATCAGGCCTCCTCACCAGGTCTGAACAGCCAATCACATCACTCTACCCTGAAACAACATCTAGTCACTTACACTACTGTTCAGAGGTTTGCACTCACTGGTTCAATTAACTCAGGTTTTTTGGAAGCAAAAGGAGGTTATTAGGAACATTTCCAGTTCTATTCTTTCATTTGGATTAGATTAATGGCATCATAATAGAGCAATTTCACTTAAGATGTATGCTAGATGTTCCTATTATGTTTTAGATCAATGAAAACAGTGATTCTGCTTCTGAATGGTAGTGTATCTTGACTTCCTACAACAGTGGTCACCATCCTTGCTCCTGGAAATCTGCCTTCCTGTGGAGCTCCATCTTTAATCTACCCTGATCCATCTTATTATTGCCTTCAGAGGTCTTTGATTAACTGATGGAGTTGTGTTACAATTTAGATAGGAGGTCAATCCGCAGGAAAGTAGATCTCCACGAAGAGCATTGCCGACCACTGGCCTACAGTTATCCAGTCACCTGCAGCACACAACTAATGACCACATTAGCCATGCAAACAGGACTTACGGTGCTGTTTCTGTTGTCTGCAGATGAGGGAGCATTAGTGAAAGGAGCCAAAACCCTGGGCTTCGTGTTCACAGCAAGAACGCCGCATTCAGTTATTATTGAAGCGGTCAGTGCTTCCTTACATCATAAGTGTGTGTGTGTGTGTGCGTGAGATTGTGTCTGAGAGAGACTGAGCTGTGTTGATAAACCGACTCTTTTTTGTCTTTACGGGTTCTTGACTGTGTGTGTATTTTTATGCAGCGTGAGAAGGAGATGACCTATGAGCTGCTTAACGTTCTAGAATTTTCCAGGTATGGGCAAAGCAGCACAACACCAATATAAACTTATATCTCTGTCTTGTTTACCATATTGCACTGTTTTAACTTGTAAACTGTAAATAAACTGATGGCATTTAAATTGATTGGAAAGCAAATACAAAGTTAACAGAAACTTAATCTTACATACTCTTCAGTTCTTTTCAGTGTAATTGTTGTTTTAAGGCTACTAGGCTACTTAATGTTTTAGTAAAACACCAAATAAGTGCACTTTAGCATGTACTTTTTTTTGATAAAACGTCTTATTTCTAGCAACCGAAAGCGCATGTCAGTGGTGGTCCGAACACCAACAGGGAAACTGCGACTGTACTGCAAAGGAGCAGTGAGTACCCCTCCGCCCAACCCCCCAACACACACGCACCTTTTTTACAATGGCAAAGTAATAACACTACGGTAACAATACAGTAATAAATATGGGGATACTCTATTATAAGTGGTCTTTTTTAGATTAAACAAATATTTGCGTAATGAAAGTCACATATTAACAATACATCTACTTAATGTAAGTAATGTATCAACAGAACATCTACAAGATATTTACTACAGTGTATTCAGATGCTTCACTACCTCTACTTCACTGATACGTTGTTGATGTGTTACTGATAATCTGTTAAGAGATTATTAATTATCTACAAAGGACTACTCCAAATAAAGCGTTACCATAACAACAAACTGTAGTAGCATAGTACACATATTATCACATTTAGATATGCCTGATTACAACCATGCTGTTCTATTCACAATCGCTGTGGGCTTTTCTCTTTAATAAGCCTAAGAGTTCATATTATGGCACATCATATTTTAAGATCAAAAACAGTAGTGAGTGGATGGTTTAAAGGGTTTTTAAACTTGTCTAGGCCAGTAAAATTTCACATTTTTACAGCAAATTTCACAAGAAGAAGCTCCGCCCCAGTATATAATTGTAAGTTTCTGGACATGTTGACACGTCTGAGGGATTGGTCGTATTTATATAAACGTTCTCTTCTATAACGTTAAAATGCGTAATGTTAGCAAGAAGCTAAATTGATTATGAAATAGCTGAATTTACTGTAAGACTTCTTTATTGGTGCGGTATGTAGTATGTTGTTGGATATGATGTCATGATGTTGGGATACCTTGGATGGTGCTAATTTCACAGCTCATTTAGATGCACTAGTGATGATGTGTGTTACAGGATAATGTGATTTTCGAGCGGCTGAATGAAGCATCCCAGTATAAAGACCTGACTATAGCCCATCTGGAACAGTTTGCCACTGAAGGTGAGCAGATTTACACAAATAATTTATGTACGTGTTCTCCCTCTTCAACTCCCTGCTTTAATCTCTTGAGGATCCAAGTTTCAATTCCTCTCTATGACTTACATATCAGTTTCATAGTACTAGTAGTTGCTAGAATTAAATTTAAGGGGTAAACTGTGTAGGATGTTCATGTGTTTGTATATACAATTATATGCAAAAATTTGGTGCCCCTTTTTTCCAGTTTAATGCACAATTGCATTAAACTCACAAACTGAATTTAACATATTAGAAAAAATGTAACTCAAAATATGGCATGGGGAAAAGTTTGGGCACATTTATATTTTATATACGTTTTTTTATATAGATTTTTTTTTACAGTATGTTAACCTATTAAGCAAATAAATAGAAATTTTGCACTAAAACTAGCAGGAAAATGCTATATGTAAGTTTGTTGCTTGAAGAGGATGTTTTAACTTTTTTTCAGTTTGAAAATAATTAAAACATGGATTCAGACTTTTGCATACAACTGTAAGTGTTTGTATGTGTTTGCAGGTTTGCGGACTCTGTGTTTTGCGTATGTGGATCTGGAGGAGAGTGTGTATCAGGAGTGGCTGAAGAAGTATAACACTGTCAGTACAGTCCTAAAGGACCGCGCTCAGAAGCTGGAGGAGTGCTATGAGCTGCTAGAGAAGGTAAAATTAGCTAAAACTAAACCTGATCCAAGATCAATTAACTGGCTAATTTAATCATCAAAACAAATAAGGCTGCAACAATTACTTGATAAAGCTGATTATAAAAAAGGCAAAATGTTGACAATAAAAAGACTTAAAGTTAATGTGAATTGGAATGCATAATGCATTTTCCTTTAGTATCATGACATATTTCTGAGTTAGGCATGATATCAAAGAAGGTCTCGGAGCATTTTCACAGTGATAGGTTGGGGGTTGAACTGGGCGAGATGAAACATGATATTTTTGGTTACTAATATTTTCCCCAACGGTTCCCAAGTGGCTAAGCATTGGCCCTATCATCAGGAGATCGCGAGTTTGACCCTTGGTGATGCCCTGGTGGGTAAGATGGCACTCCTCTCCCCCCATCACCCAGTGCGATGCTAGTCAGCGCAGGCGTCTGTTAGCTGACGTAACAGATCTGGCAGTGGGCGCTTTCTTCCGAGCGCGGTCGACTGTCCAGTGACGTTGCATGAGCAGCAGGTCGAAAGGTGCGGTGGCGTTTCACAGGTCTCAGAGGAAGCCTGTGTTAGCCTTCGCCCTCTTAGTGCTGGTCATACTATGTGATTGGGGGAGTCCTAACTAGCGGGTTTTAATTGGAGACAACTAAATTGGGGAGAAAATTGGGGAAAAACGAAGAAAAAAAAACATTTTCCCCACCTTTTGGTGGACAGTGACATGATTATTAATCAGAAGACGTTTTACAGGCAAAAGTCATTATATTTTGATGAAAGATTACAGGGAGAGAAGAATTTTGTGTTTCAGATGATATGATATACTGATTTGAGCTTAACTTGATCAGGAAAACTAACTACCAAACTTTAAAAAACATAAAATAATGTTTAAGCAGTAACACACGAGATGAAGTGCTGGCATTGTTAGGTCAGCAGACCAGTGCTAATATCTTACAGTATAGCAAGACCTTCAGTATATCATAGCTGTAATACCACCAGTTATACCAATTGCTGATTTTTCTTATTAGGTTTTGAAACATTTATGGCACAAAACTAACTAACAAGTACATTTATTTACACTTATTGAAGAAAAACAGCTCTGATCTTGCGCTACTGCATAAAAAGGCTACTGATTGAATTTTCGTGATGCAGAACCTTCAGGATGTCTACACTGAACACATAAGTCTGCTTGTCAAGACAGAACGTAAACAAACTATTAACCTATCAGCGAGTAGTTTGAGAGAGCTACACTTTTCACATTAGTGCAACACAGTTAAAAGCAATGTCAGTAGCTCACAGCAGATTAAAAAAATTGTACTACTTATGGAAACTTCCAGCAGGCTGCTAGTGTCCTTATAAAAATGACAGAAAGGATGATACAGCCCACTTTTCTCCTCGGGATGGATTAGTTTCTCCTCACCCTATTTTGGTTCGTTTCTCTATGTTTTGATGAAAGGTGGCTGGCTTGACTGCAGTATTTAAGGTGGAACATCAGTGCAGTGTGATGCAACGTGTCAAAAATAGAAACAGGTCCTCCACTGAAAACGACGCTCCACTCGTGTCTTGTGTAAACAGCATTGTTGAGCGTTTTGTTTTGTTGTTGTCACTCGCTTGTTGTCATTACAGTTGTTTTCACCAGGCTTGTAATAAAGTTGTGGCTGTTGCTTTTTTAATGAACTTCTTCAGTCCTTGATAAGCAGGATCAGATGCGTTAGTAATGGGTGGGTGCAGCATGTTAGATGCAAGAGAGGTTTAGTGACCATTTAGATTCACATTTATGGCATTTAGCAGACACTCTTATCCAGACTGACTAAGAAACATCAAATCAGAGAACATATTCTAGTTAGTACAAATAGATTATAGTACAAACTAGCCTTGAGCTAAGATACTGACAGGAACAAGAGTCAGTGCTGAAACCTAGAAAGAAAGATAGAAAATACAGAAATAACACTGAACAAGTGCAACACAGGACATTTCAATAAATGCTAGATTGGTGTTCATTGGAATGCTTCACAAAGAGATGAGACTTCAGGCGTTTGAAGGCAGCGAGGGGCTCTGCTGCTCAGGCAGCCAGTGGAAGTTTGTTCCGCCGTCTGGGTGCCAGGACAGAGAATGCTTACCTAATATATTGCCTAATATATGTATGCTCAATGTTTGTCTTCTATGTGTCTTCATGGTGGGTCAAGATGAGCGGTACTTGAATCTCAAAGGACTCGGATTAAGTTTTGACGATTGTCATCAGGTATGGAGGAGCTGGTCCAATTTTGGCTTTGCAGGCAAAGGAGCCAGTGAAGGGAACACAGCAGTGGAGTGAACTTACTTGAGAGTAAGATTGTGGACAAGACATGGTACTGCATTCTGGATCAGTTGCAAGGGCCTAATGACCCACAAAGGAATACCAGCCAGGAGCTGCCATGTGCCAGGAGCTGACCCCTGATCTGTACTGTCCATTTGAGGCATTTGATATGGTCATTCAAACAGATTTGAGTACCCCACGCACTAAAAAATGAAAAACCATCTCAACTTAAAATAATACAGTAATTAATTATACTGCTTTTCTTGAGTTAAACCAACTTGAGGACCCTAGAGTTCACTCAACTCAAACGTTTTAGTTTGCTTAAATGTCTTTTTCTAGTTCTGCATCTCAGTTAGATAAACAATGTCAATTTTTTTACTTAGTTTTTACTCAATCTTTCTATCACCCATCCCATCAGACATTTTGGGTTTTCTTGGGCATTCACATATGGAGAGCTGTGCCATCAGTGGGCTTTGAACTCACAATCTACTGATGTTGGGATGACTTACTAGACAGATGCGCCGCATGTGACCAAGCTACTTCTCAAAGTTAAAATATTTTCTACAGTGTCAACATTTATGGACACGGAAATCTGAGTAATCCATGTATTTAATTCAGTACGAATCTGCCATGTCTGTAGTTTTTACATGTCTGCTAAGTAATAATTCCAGAGCAAATAACCTTCTATAATTCTCCAAACTCAGAGCTCCCTCAGTAATAATAGTCCCTGTTCAAATCAACATCACAGTAATGTAATAACAAAACCGTGTAATAAAAATGGCGCCTACATTTTTCAAATTTTTTGGCAATTACATTACGGTTTTGTTATTACATTACTGTGATGTTGATGTGAACAGAACTACTTAGACAAGCATTTTACAGCAGAATACACACTGAACAGGGCCGAGTTGTCTGTGAAGCTGCAGTGCGTGTCCAGCAGTGGGCGCTGTTTGGTCAGGAATGTGTGTGTGTGTGTTTTCAGGATAGTGATTGGAGTGAAGGTGGGAAAAAGGGATTCGATCTCTCTCAGCCGTTATCAACTACAGCCTGCTGGAAAGGCACTTAGGCACACATGCACAGTGCTTGAGAATTTATGAACAGCTTTTGCCATTAATCACAAGAGGATATAAGGTGCTTTATGAATTAAATGTTGTTGTAATGACTTAAGGAGCCTTGAAGTGGCAGACATTTATAGCAGTGTTATGTCATCTCCAAGTAATGGAACTGGAATGTAGGAAAATATGTATGAAAACTATCACATAGGTTTAAGGGCATCAGAATCCCCCGTTGGACTGGGGCTGTTAACCAGGCGTCTGCCTTATGAGTTTTTTTACTTGCAAATGATGCTTCATAACAGTGTTATGAATGGAACGAATGTCTGTCACTTAATTTTAAAGCCCCTCTTATCAATGTAGGCATATGTTTTGTGCCTCTATACTGTGTGTGTGTGTTCAGGCTCCTTCCCAGATTAGCCAGAATGGGGGGAAAAGGGTGAGACCACAGTGGGGATAATTACCTGCACCAGTCTGCCAAGAGCCTCATAAAACTAGAGTCAACAACACCACTGTGTTACCAGAGCACACACTGTCTCTCTCTCACACACAGGGAGGGCGAAGTTTTGGAAAAGAGCACAAAAAGGGAACACAAAGTGAGACAAATGCGTCAGAACAGGTCGAGAAACCGACGAAGCAGAAATAGAGGGATTTATTTCAACTCTTCTGTCTTTCAGAATGTGTCCTCACTGTCATAAGAAAATTTCCCACTGTTTATATTTTTATACCATTTGAAAACGCCAGCTGACCTTTGTATTTATTCATAATCAACAATCAGTTATTACATTCCATTAACATATCATCACTGTCCGAAAAAAATATAAGTATCTTAATTTTTTCTGAGTTTTATTTTTTACATCATTTGAGCATGACTGCTGTCCTTTACACTTGGTAAAAAAATTAATGATGAATGGACCACCAGAAATATTCCAGAATTGCTTGGAATAACATTAAAAGTAAAGAATGCTTTTGCTCTCCTGTAGTTTCCGTCTTCAAGATACTCGCTTTTCTTTAAACAGTGATGAAATGTTGAGATCATTTTATTCCTTCTGCAAGGTTACTGTTTCAGAGATAAGTGTCTTTTATGATAGCAGTAATATTTACTCTCTCTCTGCCTCTTTCAGGACCTGCTGTTGCTCGGGGCGACAGCTATAGAGGACCGCTTGCAGTCGGGCGTCCCAGAGACCATCTCCACTCTCATGAGGGCGGACATCAAGATATGGGTTCTGACCGGAGATAAGCAGGAGACCGCCATCAACATCGGTGTGTTTGTGTATGTGTGTGTGTGTGTGTGTGTGTGTGTGTGTGTGTGTATGTGTGTGTGTGTGTTTTGTGTATGTGTGTTCTTGTATAATTTCAGGGCAAAATCAATTAAAAAAAAACGAGAGAAAAACAAGGCCAGTGAAATGACCAAAAACAGAATATGTGAATATATATTCACACCCACACACTCACATATGCACATATACATACGCAGATATACATAGACACACAAACACACACACACACTCTGTGTTCTCGGAACAAAACATCGTTGTCGGAACAAAACATCGTATCTATAAATAGGTAACTTTACAGAAGAAGAATATACATACATATAAATATATATTTATATATATATATATATATATATATATATATATATATATATATATATATATATTGCTGCTTTCGGAACAAAATCGTACAAATATATACATATATATCTCATATGTATCATATACGTATATGAGTGTTCGTGTGTGCATGTTTGGAGCTTTGTTGTTTCTTCTCTCTCTTTCATGAAGATACTTAAAGTCCACAGTAAAATGCACATATCCACTGATGAAGTAAAACAAAGACAGTAGAACAGAGACTCGCCGTGTGACTGAGAGCACAGGCACTCAGACTTGGCCGGGACTGGAGATGCAGCTTAGGAACGAAGCTTAGTGAAGAGCAGGAGAGTCTGCAGACAAAAGCAGGTTGAAAGAAGGGACTTAGGAGGCTGTATGTGTGTGCACACAATGACTGTTTCTTTCTCTTCTAGGTTACTCCTGTAGGCTGGTGACACATGGCATGTCCCTCATCATCGTCAACGAAGACTCTCTGGATGTGAGTATATGTGTGTGAGTTAGGGTGTGGAGTGGAGAGGTGGGTGTGTTTCTTTGTTTCTTTGTACAGGTGAAGGTAATTAAGGTGTCTGGTGTCATCAGTGAAGAACATGATGAAAGAGGTGGATCACTCAAACACACACATGCACACACATACACACACTTACACACACTTGCTTATATTCCCACAGAACAAGAGCACACAGACTGGGCCTTTATTTTATACACCATATTTGCAGAAACAGTCATTATATTGCAGCATTAAGTAGAATGTTTGTGGGTATAAACTAATTGAAGTCGTTTAATTAACATCATGTGAAAGTAAGCGGCTGCTGAAGAATGAATACAGAGACATACTATTTATTTTCATTGGTCTCAGAGACAGATAGTCTGCAAACAGGAGCCTGTGTGCTTTGAAGTCTGACTACAGTCTGTCTGGCTGCAGAAAGCAGCGCCACACATGCATACACAATTCGGCAAAACAGTCCACTCAGAAAATAAACTGTTCTCTGAATTTAATTGAACTGTGCTATGTACAGTGCTGTGCAAGGACGGAGACCACCCTTCTTTTTGCTGTCAAAGCGATTATTAGGTACAGCTTCTTATTGTTCAGTGTCAGGAAATAGCTAAAAACATGTAACAGAAAAATTACACTAAAACTATATCTATCATCAGTTTTTCAGTATTTGTGTGTCCATGCTTACCTTTATTACAGCTTCCAGTGGACTCAGTTTCAGTTGTTCAAAGAATAAAAATTGTACAAAAATGTCCAAAACAGGCCAGCAGAATATGTGACAAATTATTATTACATATGGGTACATATCATCGCTGTCCAATGAAAAACAAGTATCTCCAAAATAGTAACTTTACAGGAGAAGGCAAAAACACTCTTACCTTTCAATGGAAGACAATGTAAAGAGATTTTGTTCCAAGTGATTTTAGAGCATTTCTATTGGTCCATTCGTCATGAATATTTTACACAACGTAAAGGACAGCTGGTGTGTTGAAACGATGTAGAAAACTAAAAATCAACAAAAATGGAGATACATGGTTTTCATTGGACAGTGACAATATATACAGTACTGTGCAAAGGTCAGAGGCCACCTTTCCTTTATTTAATTTGAATCAAAATGGCCAATAAGAATGAGTTATTCACTTTCCAGCTTCAGATAAAAAGCAGAAAACATATTTAATAGAAAATTACAAAGAGCCCCAGCTGCTAAATACATATTTTTTTCAGTATTTTTTTTAGAAAAATATCTCCTGAAAAATGAAAAGCTTGTACTTGATGGCTGTTTTGACTGAAAATTAAATACATGAAGGGTGGAACAGTACTGTATTTCCTTTAAACAAATAGAAGAGAGACAGCATGCAGACCACATAAAGTACAACTGCAGTTAATGTTGACATATTTTCACTTTGTAAGTTAGGTTTTGATTGTGTAAAACAATTTCTGTAGTAGGGAAGCTGTTATTTTATCCATAGGTGTCAACAATGTGGAAACACACTGTAGGAATTGTTTAGTTTTTGAGGTATTGTGTGGAGATCTCAGCACTGATACCATGAAAATGTGATTAAAACTAATAGCCTTTTTGTCTTAATGGCTTAATTAATTCAGTTACTTTATTTGGCTGTTTTTTAAGGATTTGCTGTTTATCAATTTTGGCATCAAAATGATTTCTGAGTTTCAGACAGTGCTGCCACTCATGTGACATCAAGACCCCGTACTATTCTGTTCTCCTGTATACTTGGAGAAGCTGCCTATTTTTTAAAGGACCCATATCAAGGAAAACTGTATTTTCCTCACTTTTATGAAATAGAAGGCTTTGATGTAGTATATCGCTGCTGTCGGATGTGAACCTTGTATCTCCATTTTTTTCGTTTTTGAAATTTGAAAGTAGCTGTTGGCCTTTACATTGTATGTAAATTTCATGATGAATGAACGGAAAAAAACGGCCCAAAATGACTTGGAAAAAGTCTGGTTCCATTGACTTACATTAAAAGTAAAGTAGGTTTTTCCTTGTCCTGTAAAGTTATCATTTTGGAGATACAAGGTTTTTCTTCCAACAACAACGATATAAAGATTGCTAAAGTTTCAATATGTACCGTTCATTTCTCAATCTATACACTCTATATATACAGGGAGATTCATTTGAAAGAGGCCCCGAATATAATAACTGTCTCTAGCATGAAGCAATCTGAACAAAACAACATGCAATGTGCTCCTCAGTATATGGAGCTTCGAACAAGCCCGGATGCCCCTGTATCGGAGCGATGAGGTAGGCACCGGACAGCCATTGCGACGTTTAACCCCCGTTTGCAACTTCCGGGTGCATACCCCCGTACCTCTTCATGTATCTGGTAGAAAACGGAGATCACTTCCAGCATTGCATGTAATGCAATCGATTACACAAATTGCTTAATCCTAACGGGAGTTACAACACAATATTCTCTTTCGAGTGAATCTCCCTGTGGAAACTAAGCTGCAGAAACAGCCCATTTTGAATTCAGTGTTTCTGTGATGTCACAGAAAAACAACACATTTACATAGATCCAACTGTTCAGCCTACAGCAGTTTAGCTTTGCACATTCACGCTGAAGTTATAAAGACCCTATCAGAACAGAGCTCATTTACATATATGAATCTTAAATGCACAGAAATAAATACAGCCTGTTTAATTGTAAGGAATGAAGAGAAATTAGAAAATGGTGATGTAAAATGTACTTCTGACTGTTTTGGTGTATAAATCTACACAAACGTCAGACCCCAGGAGAAAAAATAAAATGCAAGACAAATGAAGGATATGGGTCCTGTTGGTTGAGACACTTAATGTCTTAGTTCTTTGGTTTTGTTAGTAAGTAATGGAAGCTAATTTATGTTAATTAGCATTATATTAACTGCATCCCTAAATCATCACACACCTGCCTCAAAATGTCTTGGGTTTTTTAAGTTTGTCAAATAGACTTGCTTATGGTGTTTCTGGCATTGTATGACGCACTGTTATCTATAAATGAAGTGAAGTAAGTCAGATTTGAGGAATTAGTTTGGCTGCTGCTGAGTTTGAGTTTGGAAACCCACTTCTGTCCCTTTGAATAAACATCAGTAGGTCATACTTTAGACACTAAATATGTTTTGGCAGATCAGCTACATTTAGCGTAAAGGGAAAAGTGTAAATGTGACGAACTGTTGTTTTAAAGTAGTAATGGGGGAGCAGTAGTAAGAGGGTGTGTTTTAAAAGACAGCAGAGAGAGAGAGAGAGACAGAGAGAGAGAGAGGGAGAGAGAGAGACAGAGAGAGAGAGAGACAGAGAGAGAGACAGAGAGAGGGAGAGAGAGAGACAGAGAGAGAGAGAGGGAGAGAGAGAGACAGAGAGAGAGAGAGAGACAGAGAGAGAGAGACAGAGGGAGAGAGGGAGAGAGAGAGAGAGAGAGAGAGAGAGAGTGAGTGATTTAGATGAAATTGTTCACATCTTTTACGGATTACATGCACATTGTAGCCAGCAGCTTTTTAAATAACTCTCAGAGTTTTTCCACAATATTCTACTAATGACACAGCTGTGTGTGTGTGTGTGTGTGTGTGTGTGTGTGTGTGTGTGTGTGTGAGAGACAGCTGCTGGTGTGTGAAAGGAATATTGTCACAGATGGACAGATACATCACAACTCTCTCTCTCTCTCTCTCTCTCTCTCTCTGTCTGTCTGTCTGTCTTTCTCTATCTTTCTCTCTCCCGCTCTGTCTCTCTCTTTCCCTCTCTTTCTCTCCCTCTCTTGTCTCTTTCTCTCTTGTCTCTCTCAATTTTTTTTCTCTATCTGTCCTTTCTCTCCCTCTTTCTTTCTCTCTCTTTTTTCTTTCTCTCTTTTTTCTCTTTTTCTATCTCTCTGTTCTTGCTCTTCCTCTCTTTCTTTCTCTCTCGCTGTCTCCTTTTTTTCTGTCTGTCTGTCTATCTCTCTGTCTCTCTCTCTCTCTCTCTCTCTCTCTCTCTCTCTTTCTGTCTCTCATCTCTATTTCCCTCTCTCCTTGGACAGATATATCTCAACTCTTTCTTTCTTTCTTTCTTTCTTTCTTTCTTTTTCTTTCTTTCTTTCTTTGTTTCTTTCTTTGTTCTCTCTCCTCTTTACCTCCCTCTCTCTCACTCTCTCTCGTCTCTCTCTTATCTCTCTCTCTTTCCATCTGTCCTTTCTCTCCCTCTCTCTTTCTTTTTTCTATCTCTCTGTTTCTTGCTCTCCCTCTCCGTCTCTCTTTTCTCTCTCTCTCTCCCACACTCTTTTTCTCTCTCTTTTCTTTCTGTTCTGTCTCTTTTCTCTCTCTCTCTCTCTCTCTCTCTCTATCTGTAATAATGTATTGTGATGTCATCATCATTCCAGTGTCCTGATTGGTTCATTTATTCTCACCACTTCCACTCTTTGACTACACACTCTCAGCCTCATGGAGGAGCAGTGTGTGTGTGTGTGTGTGTGTGTGTGTGTGTGTGTGTGGTGATGAGTGAGGGAGTAATGTGATCTCCTTTTGCTGCTCCATCTCGTCAAAACAAATTCTGGCAGCAAAGCCTCCTGGGTAAACATGGCAGCCTGCGACGGTGACTATGTGACAGCTTCCATCTGTCACTGTACCGTCTCACACACACGCACACACACAAACACACACACACACACACACTCTGTCCCAGTCTCACAGCTGGTGTCCTTGTAATATACACACACTGTTATTCTTGTCCAAATAGATTTGTTCTCTTTCTGTTTCTTCTTTCTCACACATTTTTTGTGTCACACACACACTCACAAACACACACACAAACACACACACACTCACTCACACACTTGCTCACACGCACACACTCACACACACACACACACACTTTTGTCTGTGGATCACACACTCTGATTGGTCCGATAGCTTAACTTCCACATTTCATTCATCTCCCCGTCACACTGCCCGCATTACATGGCTTCCACAAACATACTCAACATACACCTCATCAATCACACACTCACACACACACACAC